CCCATGGCCTCTCCGGCCGCCAAGATGGGGGGACACCCCGCCGCCCCCGTGGCGACGGCCCACGTCAGCCTGCCCCGCTCCTGGCCCTCGGCGCATTCCGTCACCAACATCCTGGGAATCCGCACCTTCGTGGAGCAGACGGGTGGGTACCTCGCCCAGATCCCCCGCAGCCCCGGGCAAGGATCGCCCGTTCCCTTTTTTCAGCAGCTCTCGTGCGTGTGTGTGTGTCGCCGGGTTTTTGGTGGGGTTTTTTGGGGTGGTTTGTTTATTTCTTTATATATATATTTTTTTTTTTTCTGATTGCCGTACCCCGCTCTGGCAGGACGAGGCGGCGGAGCCAGATGCAGCGAGGCTCAGACATCTTGAACTTTTTATGAAAAATGTGGAAAATATTTTCGGAAGGATGATAGATTGCCGACCGCAAATTCGGAGCCCTGAATTTTCCTTTTGCAAAGAGGAAAAAAAATAAACGGAAGAAAAAAATAAACGGAAGGGGGGGGGCGGGGGGGGAGAGGTAAAAACAGGAGGGATAAAACAAACCAGGGAGAGGAAAAAGGGGGGGCAAAGCGGAAAGAAAACGGGCACCGCAGTCTCCGGGATTCCCTCCTCCCCCGAGAAATTGTCCCGGTTTGCTTAAAAAACACGACGGGGAAGAACAAGCGAGGAGCGTCGGGGCTGCGGGAGGCTGGGGGAGCAGCGGCAGCGCCCGGCCCCGTCGCTCCGGGGGGGAGATGGTGAAGGGGGGGAACGACGAGTCCTTTTATCCTTCCAAAGGCCCGAGTAAATGAACCGCATGCTTTTTCCCTCTGTGCAATCATTTATCTTTAAAATTCCGATGTCACTTTTATAAATCTCCTTCGTCAGAAGAGAAATTGGGCCTCCTAAATTATCGGGATCATGGAAGTGATGCGGGAGGAGGGCGCGGAGAGCGGGGCAGAGGGACCGGGAGGGACACGCCAGCCTCTCCCCTCTGAAAGGTACCAAAGAGGGATACACCTAATTTCGGCCGTCAGGACCGAGCCTGTCCTGGGGAGAGAGCTGTGTCCCTGGAATGCTGGCGAGTGGGATCTGTGCCCTCCCCGCCCCCCATCCCCGTCGGGTTTATGCTTGGGCACCCGGGTTTTCCCCCCGTTTCCCCTCAATCCCTGCTCCGGGGGACAAAAACCTATTCGGACCGGTGGGGCTGGGGGGGCTAAGGCTGACCGAGCGGCCGTGCTCTCCTCCCCCAGGGGCTCTGGCTGGGACAGAGGGGTCTGCCTACCCCCCAAAAATGGAAGACTGGACCAGCGTGAACAGGACGGCCTTCCCCCCGGCCCAGGCGGTCAACGGCATCGACAAAGCTGCTGTGGAAGGAGACATCAAATACCCGCAGGTATGGGGGGCAGGAGAGGACAAAGCGGAGGGGCAGGAGAGGACAAGGCTGGAGGGCGATTTCCCGTTGCTCCCATTCCCTTCTGCCCGGACTCCGTGCCGCGGCTGCCAGCCAGACCTCCATCTCCCTGAAGGGTCCCCCAGAGCCGGGGGGGCGGCTGTTCAGAGCCTCCGTTGCAGTTCGGCAGTGCCTCCCCCCCCAGCCCAGCCATGCTTTCCCCCAGTACTCTCCATGTCTCTTTGTGCCTGTCCCCAGCCCGCCCCGGGACTCTCCTCGGTGGGCACCTTCCTCCCGGCCTGCGCCTACCCCCCCTCCAACCAACACGGCGTCTACGGCAGCTCGGCCGGCGGCTACATCCCCCCGGGCCACCCCTGGCAGCCCCAGGGAAGCCCCTTGGCCCACCCTGGACCCGGTGTGGCAATGCACGGAGGCGACCTGGCCACGGTGATGGCCTTCAAACATCCCGGGAGAGAAGGTGAGCCGGGGGAGTGGGGAACCCCCGGAGCTTTGCGGGGTGTTGGCAGGGGAGGCTTGGCAGGCGGGAGAGACATATGGGATTTGTGGGGGTGTGTGTGCTAAGGGACTCCCACCCATTTTCAGACAGAGGTTACCTCGCTGGGTGTTTTAAACATTGATAATATTCGGGCAGACTCAGTCCGCTCTGTTCCCCTGCTCGCCCCGGGGGCTCTGAGCACCCCTGTGCCCCCCGCCGCAGTATTCCATGGCTCCCAGTCCGGCCCCCTCCCGCTCAGGATGATAAACTAGAAATAATTTTTTTTTTCGTCATAATTTGCAATCGGGTGCGCTGGAAATCGCCGGGAAATATCCGGGGCGAATCCTTCTCTTTTCATCCCCCCGGCCAGAGATGGGCGTCCCGGCGGGATTTAGGAGTGCGACGGGACAGGGCAGGATCCGCGGAGGCTTTTCCCAAATCCTCCGAATATTAAATATGCATAAAAAGAAGCACTAATGACACCAGTCTGACCCAGGAGTCTCGGCTAGGATATTATTAACGTGGGCAGGATTTACAGATAAACTCACGATAAGAATCACAGGGGTGTCATTTCAACCTATGCACTAGAGGCAGTTAATTGGTTTTTTAAGTCTCCTGCTAATTAATCCACTTCATAGGGTGCAAGATTTATTTCCTCGATAGGCACTTTCGTTTTAAAAATCTCTTCTGGCACAAACTCCCCGTCAATATCGTTCTCATTTTTCTATTCTTTTTCACATTTGCAATTAATTTCCCACTTATTCCTTCATTTTTTTTTTAGTGTTGGTGTTTTTCTGTTGTTTTAAATTTATTCTTTTTTTACGCCCCTTTGCCCTTTTTATCTAACTGTGGCAACCTGCTGCGAGTTACACCGCCAGCTGTCCCGGGGCTGAGTTATTGCGGGCATCGGCGGGTGAAACCAGATAATTGTAAACCAATTATTTGGGGTGGGGGGAGAAAAACAAGCTAAATAGAGAGCAAGAAAGTGAGGCAGAGGAAGGAAGGAGAAAGGGAAAGAAAAGTAAGAGAGGGAAAGAAAAAGAGAAGGAAAAAAACCCACAACACGAATGAAGGAGGAAAGGTGACCTGCGTGTATTTAGTATATTTTTCGAGGTATTTTAAGCGGCTTGGAGCCTGAATTTTCGGACTTGCTAATTTTCAAGTTGTCTCTGTCGAAAGGCCCGCAGAATTTGGGTAAAAGATTTTTCGTTTTCGCAGGCTTTTTTGGTGTTTTGTTTTGGGGTTCTTGTGTGTGTGTGTTTTTGTTTGTTTGTTGTTTTGCTTTTTGTTTTTTCACCTGAAAAGCTTTTTAATTTCGTTCAAATCGGTTTTCTGGTTCAGTAACTTACCTGGGACAAACCGAATATCGGATTATCCGGCAAAAACGAGCCGGGGGGCTGGCGGAGGCAGGGGGCTTGGCTGGGGCTGGCAATCCCCCTTTCCTTCCCTTTGCTCCCGACACAGGGAGCCTGGCAGCTCCTTGCCTCAGGGGTGGCTTCCCTGGGGGCCCGCAGGTGGGGGGCTCGGTGGAGCAGAGCTATTTTTCGGGGAGTCATTGATGTAGGATCTGTGTGTGTGCAGACCTGGGACGTGTCACTGCAGCGAGGTGCTTGGAGTCCATCAATCCACCGCCTTGGTGTTGTATTTTATTTCCCCCCTCCCCTGTACCCTTTTCGCAGCCGTGGACAGAAAACCAACCAGTCCTGCGGGGAAATCTCCGGACCCTCTCAACACTCTCCACGGACTCTCGATCCCAGCCTCCTCTTCCTAGAGCCGCGGAGCAGCACTCGAGAGACTCCTGGAATAAGCAGCAGCCATCTGTACCCCTAGTGCCACCGAACTGTACCTGCAGTGCCACCACCTCCAGCAGGTGCCAGCGGGGACGAGGAGGCAGCGGTGAGAAGTGACATCCTCTCACAGCAAGTGCCTGCGCAGGGGAGCGCGCTCGGGACATCCACGCACGGAGGGGACAGTTCCATCGGATCGGAAAGGGGTGACACAAGAGACCCAGCCTTCCTTCTTTATTTTGTCCCTTTTTAATTTTTTTTTAATTTTTTTTTTTTTTTCACCTTGCTTTCAGTTTTAATTACTCCCTCCCCTGTCCTGGAAGACAGTTGGATGCAGGATGGCAAAGACCCGCCCCCATCCCTAACCATTGCTCAAAGAGCTCCCGGCTCCGTCCCAGCCCGAGGGAACAGTTTTCCTCAAGGAAGGGGTTTCGGGCGTCCCCGCGGCGCAGCCAGAGCCGTGCGATGGAGCCTCCTCCGCCCCAGCCTTCCCGCGCCCCTGCCCTGGACCGCCAATGGACAAACAGGCCACAACGTTTTTATGATATATTTTTATAATAACAAACCTTAATAAAAAGCGACTACCGTGGGCGCACGCCGCTGGGCTCGGTCCCTGGGGGTCTGGCTGAGCACCGCTGCTTCTCCTGGCGTCCCCCACCCCCCCGATAGCATTTATCAGGGTCTGGATTTGTGCCCCTGCCCCCCGGGCCCTGGGGTGCCCATGGCCGCCCTGGCCCCATCCCTAACTGCACTTGTGGAGTTGGGGTTCCCCTGCACTGGGGGCTGGGGGCGGTACCCATGGTGACTCCTGATGCTACAGGGCTGGCTCTGGGTGAGGAGAGGAGGTGTGTAGCCACCTCCAGCCCTGGTCTGGCTCCCACCCCCCTCACCTGGCTGTGCGCAAGTGGGAGGGAAGGGGGCTGATGGCAGTGCTGGGTTTACCTCCCCCCTCCCTGTCCAGCCGGCTGAGGCGCGTTCAGGACGGGCTCCACGGGGCTTTCGCATTCTCTGGCTCCACCAGCCGCTGCCATTGGCTTTGGTCCCTTCATTGTCTGGAGAAGGGGAAGGTCCTACAGCGGGGCAGGGAGGAAATATCCTGGCAGGAGAATACACGCCTGGCTTTTTGCAGAGAGTGTGTCTTTGTGGGAGGGAGAAGGATGCCAAATTTGACATCCCACCCCAGGAAATTATTTTGCCTTCAACCTCTGGGTGGCAAAGTTCAGTTTTGCCTCGGCTTTGCTGCTGCCAGGCCTTCAGCTAGAGCTGCTCTTTGCCACCAACTACAAAGTGGGGGTGGGGGATCTGAAGGAGGAGAGTACCCTGTCCCAGAGGAGCTGGGAGAAGCCCATTACCTGTGCTGGGCTCCTGCACTGTGGGAGTGTCTGGATAAGAGGGGATGCCTGCAGCCATGGTGGCAGCCCATGGGGGAAAGGCTGGAATAGCCTCCAAGTGCTGGTTTGTGTCCTGTAGGTGGGACAACCAGTCACATCCAGCACCCTCTGGTTCCTAAATTACCAGCCCAGTGCTGGATGCACTCTAAATCCCCCTGCTCTGTCTCAGGCACCCCAGAGATGGGTTCACAGAGCTCTGCTGTGTGGGGCCCTCATCCCAGGCAGGATGAGGCAGCGCTCCTGCACCCCATGGAGACAGGACTGGGGACTCTGATAGACATCTGGGACAAACAGGACACAAGTGCTGGCATTGGAGAGAGACACAGTGCAGAGCTCATCCTTGTCATCAGTGTCCTGCTGGGAAGCTGCTTCCTCCTGAGTCTGCCAGGAACCTGCCAACTGCCAGCTGGATGCTGAGCATCCACCACAGCCCAAGGCATGAAGCCCTTGGCAGGCATGGGCAGGCAGGAGCACTGGGAGCTGGTGGGGTGTGGAGGGATGGCATGGGACAAGGAGGCACAAGGCAGGGGATGCCCCCAGCACTGGAGACACAGCTGCCAGATTTTGGTGGTGGAGCTGAGACTGTCTGGGCTGTGTCTGTGGGGTGATGGGACTTGCTGTGTGATGGGATATCTTGCGTGATGGGACATGTTATGGGATGGGATCCACTGTATGAGGGGATGTGTTGTGTGATGGGATATGTCATATGGTGGGTTGCAACTTGTGATGGGATGCCTTGTGTGCTGGGATGATACAGATATGTTGTGTAAAGGGATGCATTGTGTGCCTGTTCTTCAGAGGCCTCCATATGAAGTTCCCCATGAAGCTCATACCAGCAGTGCTGCCCAGGGTGTCCTGGGGGTGCCTGTCCTAGGCAGAGCAGGGTGGTGGCAGGGCCCTGGGCCCCTCTGCTCCACATAGTTGTGGCTGTGGAGTGGACAGATGGCAGGCCAGCTGGCGGAAAGCCAACACTGCTGTCCCACTGCCCTAGCCCTTCCTGTTGTGTCTGCACACCTCAGGTGGGATTTGCCACCAGAGGGAGACCCTATTATTCCACAAACACCTCCCAGCAACCTGTGGCAGCCTCACCTTCCTCTGCTGGGAACAGATGGACATACGGAGCATATTCTCAGCCATGGTGGGAACCTGCACTTGTCCAGGTATTTAGGACTGAGGTGCCATGCTGCTCCATGCTATGGTGCTGTGCTGATCCATGGAATGGTGCTGTGCTGCTCCATGGGATGCTGCTGAAGGGCAGGGAGCAGAGCGAACATGTTGGGTGATGGTGCAGTGGCTTTTGTGCAGTCAGGCTTCTGGTTTCTGTCATGTTATTGACTGTCTGATTGTTGGTAGCCACTATTAAAAATACAATTTAAACAGTTATCATCAGGGAAGGGACTTTCTCATTAAAATCCCACACTTTTGGGGGATCATTTCAGCCACTGGATTTAACTGAGGTCTTTGGAAGCTAGTAGTGTTCTTCATTTTCCCCCCATGCTTTGCTGTGAGAGAGGAGCTGATGCTATTGCAGAGCTGCTGGACAGGCTCCACCTGGGACCAGCTGTCTCCAAGCCTGTCCCCCATTTCCCTGCCCAGGGCCATTTCTGCTGCAGGCAGAGCAACTGAAAAACCAACCCACCCAGGCATTTATGGGAGCAGAACTGGGTCCTAGTGCAGGAACTGGCAGCAAGGCACGAATGCCAAGGGCCTCAGTAGCTTCCCAGGTTGATGCTGAGCTTACCAAGCACTCCCAGTCAGCAATTTAGACATTCCCAGCTGGAAATATAATGGGCAATGTGCTATTTGGGATTAAATCTGCCACAACAAGCACTTTCTTAAGGGTGACATTTGAGCAGCGGAGAAAAACGTAGCGAGAAGAGGAAGGAAAATGAGCTCCAGCTGCAATAGGTCACTTTGTGCTGAGAAAATGAGGCAAAAAGCCATCGTTTTGCCCATGTTGGTAATGGTGATGATGATAATTACTGTCACTGCCTTGAAGCTGGGCATGGCTTTCCCCAGCTGGAAGTCCAGTGGAAAATCCCTGGGGAAACTGGGAAATCTCAGTGTCCACCCCACACACCTCAGTTAGTGTGTTCCCCATCACAGAGAAATGCTGGGACCAAAAAAACCCTCTGAAATAAAATCAGTCCTTTCAGGGGAGTGACATGAAATGTTGCTCTGCCTCTCCATGATCTGGCCACACAGCAATTTCCTCTCTGCACAGGCAGACTGACATAATCCAGAGAAAATTGGACTTGATTGGAGAGGAACTTTTTGAATTTATCGGACCAAAGCAAGAGGGTGGAAGCAATCTGCTCTGACACTTCTTCAGACACGATTTTGTCAAAATCGATACCATCCCCCAGAACACGTCAGTTTTGATGAAATGGCAGTTTCTGATGGAAAAAAAACACCACAAGGTTGAAACTGTTTCCATCGGCTCAACCTGCCCCATTTATCTTTGGCAATGTTCTTTTTGAGAGCACAGAGCAGGATAGAGCACGTGGAGCAGGATAGAGAATATTACAGCCCTCATTCAAAAACCTGTGCTTTGTTACTGGAAACTCTCCGATGGAGTCTCCACTTATTTATTTTCTTTTTTAGCATGTGAAGAATCATAAAGGTTTGAAAACATCACTCTGGTTAGGACCATGTTGTGCCGTAGAAATGGGGATCGCAGATGTTGGGCAGGAGAAGATACCACAACATTTACCTCCTCATCACCTGCTGCTTTGGGCTGTCCTCTGCACTTTGCCAAGCCCGGATTTGGACAAGGTCTCTGTGTGTCCAACCTTGCTCTGGTTTATTTGTCACTATGTGGAGCAGCTTGGAACAGGAGTTGTCTGGAGGAGAGGTGATGCCCTCAGAGATGAAGCAATGTTGATATTAGCCCAGGAAAGAACAGACCCCTTTGACCTGTGTAACCCCTGGTGTCCCACATCTGGGCTGGCGAGCCCAGGTCACCAGCAGTAGGTGACAGTCAGACTGGCTCATTAAAAGTCAGGAACTGATGTGCTTAATGATCCAGCTGCTTCCTTGCCCTGGCTCTGGCTACAGTGGCAGCAGGTACTTGGGGAAGTGTATAAAGATTATTTATACACATGTACACACACATATATACTCACATACATATATACAGGCACATATACACATGTGTGTGCATATTAGCATTTTCAGTGGTGGCCTTGGCAGTGCTGGGTTAATGGTTGGACTTGATGATCTTAAGGTTCTTCTCCAACCAAAGCAATTCAATTATTTTATCTTGGATATTTTTTCATCCAAAGCCTTAAAGCAGCATCCTTGGCTATTTCTCTAAATGCTGCTCTACAAAGTCCTCTCTTGTTGTGGCCCATGACAAGAAGTCCCCCCACCACCTTGTGGTTGTGAAGCAGCTTCTGCTTCTGCATGCAGTGGATGTGACCTCCTATTTGTCCCACGCCACCACCCCTGATGCCATCGTGGCTCATGAACAGCATGAGCAGCATGAACAGGCTCTGCCTTGGACCTTTGCACAGCAGCAATACACTTATCACCTCATCTCCTTGGAGTAGCCAAATCCCAGCCTCCTTATTGGTCCGGAGCAAGCTCTTGGA